CCACGGTGGGAGGTCAGTCACTAAAATCCCATTCGCTCAGAGTGAGTCTGCATGCAGCAAGCCAGTCTCTTGCCTCTGGGCCTCTCTGCCCGCACAGCTGTCCCAGTCTCTGCCTCAGCGCTGCCACCACTCCGGCCTCTGCTCTCCTGCAGCCTTGCAGCCCTGCCAATGTGTCACCCAGAGCACTGGGCAGGGCTCTCTATGTAGAGTCAGTAACGGCACATTGCCATCACGTGTGTAGTGAGCTAGCCAACCAGGGTCAGGTGAGAATCCTGGCCACAGGAACTTTCATTTTATCCACAACTCATTATAGATAAAATGATTGCATTCTAGAATCTTCAGATTCACACTTGGCTTGCCCCCGCTCCAGATCTTTAACTTGAATGTCACTTCCTCAGTGAGCCTCTTCTGTATTCAGATTTGGGATCCTTCAGCAGTCTCAACTTCTTAGTACTTACCACTTTCTAATCAACTGCATATTTTACTTGTCTACTCTTACTAGAATGCAAACTGCATTGTAGCAGGGATTTTTGAGCAAATACTTAAAATCTTAATAGTCTGCTCTTCCTGAATTTTCAGAGCTTACCTGTTCATTCTTCCAAACTTACTTGTATTTTTAAAGTTTTTTGACTAAAGTAATACGTATTTTGAAAAATGCAAACATTACAGAAGTGCCTTGTCCTCATTTCTGCCATACACCCTGCAATCCCACCATCTCAAGGTAGCCACTGTTAAGTGTGATGTGTATCTTTCCAGACTTTTCTATGCATGTACACATATATCTGCTAAAAAGAGAAAAGGTAGAGTATGAATTCATGATTCTGCCGCTTGCGTTTTTCACTTAATATAGTCTTTATAAATCAATACATAGGCACCCATGTTATTCTTTTAAATAGCTTTTTATATTGATGGATGCATTATGATTCATTTAATCAGTCTTCTATTAATAAATGTATTTAGGTTTAATTTTTTAATTTTGGCTATTACAATCAGTACAACTGTGACTCTCTTTGTACATCTACTGTATTACTTGTGATGGTGTGGATAAAATGAGAGTTCCTGTGGCCAGGATTCTCACCTGGCTGTGGTTGACTAGCTCACTGCACACCTGTGGGCGATATACGGCTGTTGACTCTATAAAAGCTCCGCCCAGTGCTCTGGGCGTGACACGGTGGCAGGGCTGCAAGGCTGCAGGAGAGCAGAGCAGAGGCTGGAGTGGTGGCAGCGCTGAGGACAGAGGCCCAGAGGACGGCTGTGCAGGACGACTGTGCAGAGAGGCCCAGAGGATGGCTGTGTGGACAGAGGGGCCCAGAGGCAGAGACCGGCTTGCTGCATGCAGACTCGCTCGGAGTGAACGGGATTTTAATGACTGACCTGCCACCTGGAAATAAAGTTGGGCATAACCCTTTCACCCCAAGAACGTTTTGCTGTCATTTTCTTTAGTCACACTGAATCCATAGCGAACTTGCCTGGGGCCAAAACCCATTGGCAAGACAGATGGCATTTCTTCCCAGAGATGGAATTGCTGGGTCCAAGGATAGTCACTTTTCACATTTTTGTATATTACCCAGCCAGTTGTCTTCCCAAAAGGTTGTATCAGTTTATACTCCCCCAAACCATGTGAGTTCCTGTTTCCCTATGGCTCACTAACATGGGATATCATCAGTCTTTTAAATTTTTGTCAGTCTGATACTCTTATTTTTTAATTTTCCCAGATTTATTGAGATGATAGACTCTTGTTTTAATCACTTCCTTTTTACCCCTTGGTGAGGAAGGGATTCTCACCCTAGAGTTATGGGGATGGCCAAACATAACACCTGACACTGGACAAGTGAGATTGACAGCAGTTGATTTAGTCACAAATAGAGCATAGGGGAGGACACCACTGGCCACCCAGGGCCACACAGGTGTTGCATTGAAGAATTTAATGAACAACCAGAGGCTGTGGGGGACAGGCTTTGTAACAGCAAGAGGATGAAGTGTGCTGCTTGGTTCCTTGCAGGGGGTGTGATTGGCTTGTTTGAATAATTCCGCAGGCTGGCAAAGAACTAAAGACTTACTACTCAGAGATAAACAGGAACTGCACCTGGTCCATTTGATAAGGATTGGTCAGGGCAACTTTCAGTTAGACAGTTGGACACCCTCCTGATTGTACCAGATGTCAAGATAGCACAGAACATTAGATCTTAATTTCAACCGTTCCTGGTTAATTATGAGGATTCCTTTTGAGTATTGATTTTTTAATGATTTTCTGCCATTTGTTTTTTTCTCATTTAATAAACTCATGGATAATTAATTTCATCTGTAATATTTATTTTTATTTTCTTGAGCTGTCATTAGGAATTCCCCCCCCCTAACTGATAAGAACGACTGGTTTGCAGTTTGCCATTCTATGCTGTCTTTATTGGGAATTGGTGTAAGGGGAACTGTGGCTTCATAAAGTGAAATAGCATTTCAACTTTTCTGATTTCTGATACAGATCTACAGGGTGAGGATTATCTATTCACTAAAAGTTTGAAATAATTATCCCATTAAACCATCTGAGCCCAGAGATTTTTTGGATATATTTCTTGAATAATGTTTTCAACATCTTTCTTAATTTTTTAATTTCATATCCCAGAAAATGGTCTACTTTATCCAGGTTATCATATGCATTAGAACAGAGTCAGATAAGATATTCTCTTATTTTCCTGGTGTTTTTAAGATGCAAAACCACATATTCTATGAAACAGGAACAGAATGCTACAATGAGGATTAAGTTGAGTTCAAGACAGGTGGAATGGAAATTGGCTAAAATGAATGGAAAACAAAACAAGCAGAACTAAATATCTATTGGAGAAAACAAAGAGAACCCTTGACTCTGGAGAAAATTAAATCTGTGATGGTGAAGAAAAATGAGATACTTCCCCAGAATGCAGAGAAGAAGAACAAATGGTGATCTAATGTGCTAATTTTAGGAGAGGGAAAAAAAAAGATCTATTCACAGAATGGACAGTAACATATTAGGAAGAAAGTTTTGTAAGCTGAAAAGAACACCTCTTTTATTTCTGGAAAATTAATAGGAAAGTGCCCACACTGAGATTAATACTGGCAAAATGACTTGAGAGTAAAGAAAAATCTCAACGAGCACCCTGCAAATTGCTCACCTAATAGACTAGCCCAGCTTTGCTACCATCTTTCTTATTGTTATTTTTTGAGATGTTAATGATACAGAACATATAAGTGTCTGGTGTATTTGCTACCATTTTAAGAACCAAAAGACAATGGGATAAGGAGAGCGTCTAGGGAAAAGTTTGAGACTTTTCTAAGAATTCTATATAGTCAAGATGTCATTTGCATGTAAAGACAGTAGAAAGGCATTCTCACCAAGAGCAAAAGCTTAGAAAAACATAACATTCAGGAGTCCTACCTGAAATCACCAGACAAGTGAGAGATGAGTTCCAATGAGGAAGAGAAAAATCAAGCACAAAAAACTGGCAGTGACATTGATACTAATTGAACAAAGGGTTGGCAAAAGCCAAAAACACTGATTGAAAAAGGAATTTGTGTAAACAAAATTGTGTAAAAATTGTGTAAAAGTGTAAACAAAAGCTGGGTTTATCATCCTGTATTAAATAGGCAAATATAAATAGGTGTGAGGGCAGCAGGCCAGGAGATGGAAAGACACATTAACATTTTTCTTTACACAAAGAGGAATATAAAAATGATTTGTTATTAATAATTTGTGAAATATAACTTGCATTTTTATTTGATAAAGGCAGTCGCCAGAATTAAAAACATAAAAGCAAATATAAAATATAAAAATAAATATGTAAAAAATAAAAGCAAATATGTAAAAATTCAGAAAACAGGAAAAAGCAAGAAAAAAACTATAGAACAGGATGGCAGATGACCAAATAAACCAGCTATAATAGCTGATGGATTAAATCCCAGCCAGAGTGGAGGCGCAGCAGCTTTTAGGACAGATCCTTTGTGCCTCCAGGCTTTTATTAATGCTGAACCCAAGGCCTGACTTGCTTTCCCTCCCTGTATAAGGCTAAGGCCTCAGTTCCAGGCAGACTTCCTCCCGGCAGTCCTCCCGGGCCACCCGCGGCAGAATGAGCACTCGGCACAGAGCGCGGACTGAGCATGTGAAGTTGAGGCTCCGGGTCTGGGACAAAATACCCACTTTCCGTCTCACCCGCGGATGCAGCGTTGGGGCCGTGACCCGGCCTCCAGCCAGGTGCGGGGCACAGGATAAGAGCACTAAAACCCTGCCCGACTGTTATTTATATCGTTTTCCTCGTTGCCCGCCTTTTCTCCCCCGGAGAAAGTTTCAAACCGGCTCGGTTTGCTGACAGACAGTCACAGCCGAGTGAAGCGTCCCACACCGTCGCCTGCAGTCCCCGCGTCCGGGAGCGCCTCCCCTTGGAGGTGTCGGATCCACCCGCGCCGACTCGCCCCCACCGCACAGTGCAGACTTGTTGAGTTTCACTGCCCGCGTTGGGAGGCTGCGTCCGGAAAGAGCTGGAGCGGGAGAGGGCTGGGGCTAAGCGTCGGGAGCCCTTCCCCAAGTCAGAAGGGCTCTTCCCTATTGCCAAAGATGTGGCGGAGGGCGCGGTCCCAATGAATTTACTGGAGAGGAGAGACTGGGGGCTGAGCCCAAGGGTCTTGGGGTAACATGACGAGCTGAGGGTGTTGGGACAGACTCGCCCCTCCCTGGAGTGGGTGAGATGAGTAAGTCCCGCGCGCGTCCGGGATGCAGCAACGAAGGGGTTAAGGTGCTGCGCCCCGCCCCAGCTTGGGGATTGGCGGGCCTCGTGGGCGTGGCAGGAGGGCGGGGCCGCGTTTGCCGCAGCCGCGGGTGGGCGGGGCCCGGGCGGGAGCGGGAGGGGCTCGGAGCGAGCCGGGCCCGCACCGCGCGCCCCGCCGGGCGGGCTTCGGGCTGCGCCAGTGAGCCGGGCCGGTGGCGCCCGCGCGGAAGACCCTGCGCCGGACCCTGAGGCAGCGAGTAAGTGCGGCAGGCCCACCGCGGCGCCCCTCCTGGCTCCGAGCTGTTGCCGTGTCCTCTGCACCGCGAGGCTTGTCCGGTCGGACTCGGAGCTGGGGATGGGGTGCGTCCAGCTGCTGGGGTTACGGGGGTTAGGTGAGTGGAGATGAGGCCGATGATGTCATGGATGCTTCGCCGGGCCTTGGGAGAAGTGGCGGCCGGAGGGGGTGCGGCCCGGATTATGTCACCTCTTCCCTCTGCGCCCCGCCCCCCGGGGCCACACTCGATGGTAAGAACACGGGGAGGTGCGGGAGGGATTTCCCCCACAGCAGAGACCCCTGGGCACCTTCCTGCGGATGGCCTCTGGCCAGTCTCTTACCTATTGGCGTTGTGGGCCATGGATTGCTGGTGAATGGCGAACCTCCCCGCGACCCCCCGCAAGGATGCTCGTGTGCGCGCGTGTGTGTGATGGGGGGGGTGCGCTGTCAGCCCCCTCAGTCTTGAAACACCGGTTTCATCAGAGCCAGAATCTGGTGGATGGGGCCCTTCTCTCGTTGTTGCCAAGGGAAGATGGATCTCCCCTCACACATCCTAACCAAGAAGTTCTGAAGACCTCTGCACCCCCAAAAGCCCTACAGTGCTCCCATCCCTATTCTCCCTTAGTCCTTCTTCCATGAAGCCCTTTCTGATCTACCTGTCTGAATTCACTGCCCCTCTGCATTGCTCATAACTAGCATTCCCATATACATTCTGTATGCATCTCTTCCGTGCCAGGGACCAGAGACTCTCCCCAGGACTCTGTCATCTGTGCCCTCGGGGCACGCACAGGCCATTCCTGGGAAAGCCTCAGAATGAAATCTCCCTGGAGTAGCCCAAACCAAGTGCTCGCTCCAAGACCCCTCCCTACCAGGGGAGATCAGGTATGCTGTCCTGGAAGGCAGTATTTGGATTGCTCCTTGAAGGATGCAGGACGGGCACAGATTGCTGGGAAGTGTCAGGTCAGAGGACACATGGGCATCAGGAGAGGCCTTGGGGGCCCTGCTGCAAGCTCTGCTCTGATTCTGGGGGCTGAGAGGAATGTCAGGCATTTTACCCATAATACATTTACTTCTTAAGATTCCTGTAAGGTAGGTGTGAGAACCCAAGGTGAAATAACCTGCGTGCATTTCCAGCCCTAATCAGTTGAGCTGGGATTTACACTTGGAGCTGATCCCTCCAGAACTCTGTCTACTGCACTTGGGGCCGCTCTTGGAAGAATTTGGGCAGAGCAGTGACAAGATCAGCTTTGCCCTTTAGAAAGAGTACGCTGGCAGCTGCATGGGGGAGGGAGTACAGGGGAAGAAAGGCCAGTGAGGAGCCCCCAGCAAGGGTGCTGGCAGGAGGGGCTGCTGAGCTTTTTAGGGGGTGAATGGGCTGGGCTAAGGACTTCTGAGACCACAAGAGAAGAATGGAGACCCTCCTAGCTTTGGGAGGGAAACAGGGAGGGGCTGGGTGGTCACTGTGGATTGGAAAGACCTACCTGTAACCCTCAGGTAGAGTCCATTTGGCCCCTTGTGACCATTAATACTGTGTATAATTTTCCAGGCAGTTGATGGGACAGAGGTAGAGGCAGAGTCAGGCAACAGGCTGTCATTCCAGGTTGTTGAGCTGATGCCATGAGGCTGCATATGCAGACCACACTCAGAGCTACCTGGGCCAGTTCAGGACCCAGACCCATAGACAAAGCTCAAACCCTTCCCTTGGGCTCAGTTTCTGCCCATCAGGGAAACATACATCCCTTTCTGTCCTGGTAGGTCCCTGCTGAGGTTTTGAGGAAAAAATCTGCAGTAGTCCAAGCTTGGGAGAGGCAAGGAGCAGGGAATGCTTGCCTGGGGCTGACCATGACAGGTTGGAATCATGTCAAGACACTGGGGAGCAAGGCTCTGGGGAGAGTTGCTGGGGTTGGCAGTTAAGGATATCTCAGAACATGAGGATAGGAGGCTCAGGAGACAGTCCTGGGACCTCATTTCCATCTAGGACTTTAGGTATCTGAGCCTTGCTGGGGACCACACACACACACACTCTAGGAAACAATGGGGCGAGTGGAACCTGACAGGCCCAAACTATTGTCAGATTCTTCTATCCTGGATTTCAGGGAAGGTAGTATTGCTCATGTGTACTGGACCTTACCATTTACAAAGCACCTTCCCAAGCATTATTCCCTGTCACTCTCATGATCCACATGCTCACTCTGAGGTTTGCTCCCACCCACATCCAGACCTCCTTACCTAGATCTCTAATCTCACTGTTGGCATCTTCTTTTGGCTCATCAACACTCAGGTTTCCCAAGCTTAATTTTAAAATTAGAAAAAAGCCCTGGGTCCCAAACCACCTTAAATTACCACCTTCTCTGGCCTTCTCTTTGAGCAGGGAACTCTCCCACTTCCCCTGCAGACCCCTCTACTCCTGTAGTTTGCTTTGCCTTGTGCCTCTTCTGAAATCCTTCTCTCAGAGACACCAGTAATGTTTCCACTTGCCGAATCCAGGGCACACTCTCCAATCCCAATTTTACCTAGCCCCTTTTTAACACGGGGGTCTGTTCCCACATTCTTGAAGCCCCCCATCTTGGTCTGCTGGGTCCTCCCACCCATGCCACCCATGAATGCTGATGATGCCAGGCCCTTCCCATTTGGGATGTGAGAGATGTTCTCTGGTCTTCCCAAAAGCACCTTATTTCCCCCAAACATTCTCCCCCTGTCATGTTGAGGGTGTCACACCCACTCTTGGTGCTCCAGTCCTGACTCCTCTTTTGTCCACCACCCCCTGAACCCCACTCTATGAAGTTTTGTCTGTTCTTCCTCCCACCCCTTCCCAGGCCTTCCCCAGGCCACTCAGCCTCTATCCTCCCAGTCCCCAGTGCTTCCTACACTGCACCCACCCTTTCGGGAGCAGGGGTCATACTCATGGTGTGGGGGGCAGATTTCTGGGCTGAAGGGCAGGTAGCAGGGCTGGAGTATGCTAGGGAGCAAAGGCAGAGCAGGGACTAGGGTGAGGCTTGAGGAACACCCAGGGCATCAAATGTAAGGAGGCACTTGCTCTCAGGGTCCTGCACTTACACTGCACCCTGGGTGCCTCCCTTGCCTCACTCTAGTCCCAGCCCTGCCTGTGAGGACAGACTGGTTGCAGGAAGGAAGGTGGTAAAGTGCTGTTCTCCACACCTGGGGGTACAGCAGCAGAGGGAATGGAATTTTACAAAGGCAGTGGGGACTGGCTTGGTGGTGAACTTCCCAACCACCTGTGGCTGCAGTTCCAGGTGTGATGGCCAGAAGACTTCTGAAGAGCCAGAGTTTTGTCAGGCTCCCCTGGTCTGGGGCCTGATAGGGACACAGCATTAGAAGTGGGCATCTGGGTAGAAGACAGTCGGAGAAGCACTCCTAGGGCCCCTGGTGCCATCTGGACCCCTTCACCTTGGTAGAGGAGGGCTTCCTCTCTAGTTTCTGATGGGAGTAGCAGGTAAGGCTTGAAGGAAGCCCCCACCATCTCTGGTACACGTATTTGAGCGTCCACACCAGCGGCAGGCACTGCCTGGTGGATTATGCAGATCTCTGGGGTAGGTGTTCCCAGGTGTGGATTTGAGACAAAGGAACCAGGAAGTCGGGCCTCCCTGAGCGCAGGTAACCCGAGGCCCTGCTCCCCCTGCTCCTGTGGGGGAGGGGGTGCACGCCCATAGAGGGCTCAGAGGACTTCACCGTGAACTGAGCGGGGTCAAGGTCCACAGGGAGTGAGGGAGGGGAGAAATCCAGGAAGTCTTCCCGGTGGCAGTGAATTCTTAGAGGGGTTCACGCGGCTCAGAATCTTCGCCGGCGCCGCTGGGGGCGGAGGCCCCGCCCCTCCCGCGCGCACCTGTGGGAAAGGCAGGCCCCGGGGAAGCACTGCGTCCCGCAGCTGGCAGCACTGCGTCCTCTGCCCCTGCCCCGCCATTGTACTGGTCGCAGGCCGTGGGCCCTCGCGAGCCAGGCCCACGTGAGGCCACATTGGGAAGATCTCGGGAAGACCCCTTTGCCTCGCGCTGCAGCCGCAGTCCCTGGCCGTCCGCGGGGAACGGGGCGTGCCTGCGGTGGCATCCGCAGGCGACTGCGATGCGCACCGCAACGGCTGCACCCGCCCACCCCCACCAAGACCTCCATCCCCTCCTTCGCTCGCCGCCCCGGGGCGCCTGGCACGTGGCAGCTCCGCGAGGTAGGTCCTTCATTCCTCCCCTTTTGCAGAGGAGAACACCGCAGCCCGGGATGGCTCAGTCGGTCGGTCCAAAGCTGCGCAGCTGGTTCGGGCCGAACCCCGACTGCGAGAATGAGGCACATGGCCCCTGCAGACCTGGTCTCGGAGGGTCCCAGGCTTGAGGACCCATCGGCCCCGACCCTCTTGGAAAAGCAAGGAGAGGACCCTGTGCTGGTAGTGAGCCTCCACTTCTCCCCCTGACTGCCTGCAACCCTAGGTTAGGGGCCTGGGAAGAACCCACACACAGTTCTTGCATAGGGGTGGGTTTCTCTCAATTAACTTCTGAGGTTCCTTGCTGCATTCAAATATTGCTGGCTCCTTCCAACCACACTCTCCAGCTCTTAAGATTGATTGCATTACAGGGGCTCAGACCCAGGGTAAAGAATGCCTAAGTTCTGGGGGTTGCAGTGAAGAATTGAGGCTCATGGAGGAGGTGGGGTTGAGGTGGGAGCTGAGGAGTGGAAAGCTGAGCTGAACAAAGCTGGGCAGGTATGTGCATGATGCCTTGGGGCTTGGGCTTTGTCGGCTGGGCTTGTCAGATGAACAACAGAAGCCCCCATTACCAGGCTGTCACCCTTACCCCAACCCCGTTCCTTCACCTTGGGTGTCTGGGAACTCTTGTACCCATTGTCAGGAAGGGGACACTGAGGGGCAGGGGGCTGGGCTGACTTAGCTGGGGTGGTGGGAGTAGGGGTAGGGCTGACCTGTATCTACCTTCCCACCTGTGCCCACAGTGCCCCCCTGGCTTAGTCATGGCGAAGCTGGAGACACTGCCTGTGCGCGCTGACCCGGGGCGGGATCCCCTCATGGCCTTTGCCCCTCGGCCCTCTGAGCTTGGACCCCCAGACCCTCGCCTGGCCATGGGCAGTGTGGGCAGTGGGGTTGCTCATGCCCAGGAGTTTGCCATGAAGAGCGTGGGCACCCGCACAGGGGGTGGGGGCAGCCAGGGCAGTTTCCCTGGCCCCCGCAGCAGTGGCAGCGGGGCCAGCAGGGAGAGGCCAAGCCGCTATCCCTCAGAGGACAAGGCTCTCTCCAACTCCCTCTACCTCAACGGTGAGCTGCGGGGCAGTGACCACACGGATGTCTGTGGCAACGTGGTGGGCAGCAGTGGGGGCAGCAGCAGTGGGGGCAGCGACAAGGCCCCCCCCCAGTACCGCGAACCTAGCCACCCACCTAAGCTTCTGGCCACCTCTGGCAAGCTAGACCAGGTCAGTCCCCAGGGCCCTGTGCTGAGGATGGGGGTGGGAGGCAGTGGAGAGAGGATGGCAATGTGCCTTCTTAGAGGTTGGATTGTAGGGCCTGGATGGAGGGTGGGCTGGGGAGCCACAGAGTGGAGCTCTGGGGGCCAAGTCCAGCTGGTGGGGTCAGGGCAGAGATTTGGCTTGGAGGTGCCATGAGGTGGAGACCCAGTGGGAGGGACTCTGGAAATCAATGGGGTTGGGAGGTGGGGCTGAACAAGCCTTAGCCAGAAGAAACAGGCTGGGGCCAAATCTAAGGCTCCATCCTCATGCCCACACCCATTCCTTTTACGCAGTGCTCAGAGCCACTAGTTCGGCCTTCAGCCTTCAAGCCCGTTGTACCCAAGAACTTCCACTCCATGCAGAACTTGTGCCCCCCACAGACCAACGGGACCCCTGAGGGACGACAGGGCCCTACTGGCCTCAAGGGTGGACTGGACAAGTCTCGAACCATGACCCCAGCAGGAAGCGGGAGTGGGGGTGGCCTCTCAGACTCAGGCCGGAACTCACTCACAAGCCTGCCTACCTACAGCTCCAGCTATAGCCAGCACCTGGCACCCCTCAGTGCCTCCACCAGTCATATCAACCGCATTGGCACTGCCAGTTACAGTGGTGGTGGCGGCAGTGGGGCAGGCTACCAAGACCTGGCCACCTCTGACAGTGGGCGGGCCTCCAGCAAGAGCGGGTCATCCTCATCCATGGGCCGGCCAGGCCACCTGGGATCAGGGGAGGGGGCAGGTGGAGGCCTGCCGTTTACAGCCTGCTCACCACCTTCACCCAGTGCCCTGATCCAGGAGCTAGAGGAGCGGCTGTGGGAGAAGGAGCAGGAGGTGGCAGCTCTGCGGCGCAGCCTGGAGCAAAGTGAGGCTGCGGTGGCCCAGGTGCTGGAGGAGCGTCAGAAGGCCTGGGAGCGCGAGCTGGCTGAGCTGCGGCAGGGCTGCAGTGGGAAGCTGCAGCAGGTGGCCCGCCGCGCCCAGCGTGCCCAGCAGGGCCTCCAGCTGCAGGTGCTGCGGCTGCAGCAGGACAAAAAGCAGCTGCAGGAGGAGGCAGCCCGGCTGATTCGGCAACGGGAAGAGCTTGAGGACAAGGTGGCTGCCTGCCAGAAGGAGCAGGCTGACTTCCTGCCCCGGATGGAGGAAACTAAGTGGGAGGTGCGGGCTGGGGGCATGGGCCTTCTCTCTCTGTGTCTCCTTCCTTCTGCCCCTCTGGAGAAACCTAGAGCAGTAGCCCACCACTGTCACAAGGAGATTGAAGGGTGGGGGGGTGGCTAAACATTGACTGGGAGTGTCTGTGAGGACCAGAGCTGTCCCTGGGCAGTGTGTACTAGCCATGTCTGGCCTGAGTCTGAGGAGGGGGCCCAGTGTTTCATTTCTGCCCAGTCTGTTGAGGAGCTGACCCTGATGGGAAGCTTGGTGTCTCTGGGGCTGGGGTATTGATGAGCAGAGCTCTGCCTTCACCCTGGCTTCTCCTCTCACCTGACCCTGTCCAGGTGTGCCAGAAGGCTGGGGAGATTTCCCTCCTGAAGCAGCAGCTGAAGGACTCGCAGGCGGACGTGTCCCAGAAGCTGAGTGAGATAGTGGGGCTGCGCTCGCAACTGCGGGAGGGCCGCGCCTCACTGCGGGAGAAGGAGGAGCAGCTGCTCAGCCTGAGGGACTCCTTCGGCAGCAAACAGGCCAGCCTGGAGCTGGCTGAGGGCGAGCTGCCCGGGGCCTGCCTCAAGCCGGCGCTGACCCCCGTGGACCCTGCCGAGCCCCAGGATGTCCTGGCCACTTGCGAAAGCGACGAGGCCAAGATGCGCCGCCAAGCGGGGGTGGCCGCGGCCGCCTCCCTGGTTTCCTTGGACGGGGAGGTGGATGCCAGCGGGGACGGCGGGACGCGGGCGCTGCGGCGGGAGGTGGGGCGGCTGCAGGCTGAGCTGGCGGCCGAGCGGCGGGCCCGGGAGCGCCAGGGCGCCAGCTTCGCGGAGGAGCGCCGCGTGTGGCTGGAGGAGAAGGAGAAGGTCATCGAGTACCAGAAGCAGCTGCAGCTGAGTTATGTGGAAATGTACCAGCGCAACCAGCAGCTAGAGCGGCGGCTGCGGGAGCGCGGGGCCGCGGGGGGAGCCAGCACACCCACTCCCCAGCACGGGGAGGAGAAGAAAGCCTGGACCCCCTCCCGCCTCGAGCGCATTGAGTCCACAGAAATCTGATTCCCCTCCTGGGCACGTGGTCTTTTGACAAGTGCCCAAAGGCCCGAGTCCCCAGTGTCCCCTCCCTGCCATTTCTCTTCCCTCTGTCCGCCATATCCCCAGACCAAAGACGTTCCCAAAGCAGCTGTGCCCAGGTTCCTCCCCTGTCCCCACTGGGTGCCCTCCCAGCCCTGCCACTGGCTCTCTGGGCAGCCCACTTGGGCCCTCCTCCCAGGGAGGGAATAGGGGGAGGCAGGGTGAGTGGGATTGAGGGACCCAGGTAGCAGGGAGCCATGCTCCCTTTGGCGCTTGCTGGTGGGAGATGGAGGTGGCAGGCCCAGAGTGCCGTGAGGTGCTGCAGTCCCTGGTGGGTCTGGGTTGCTACGTCAGCGCCCCCGTGCCCAGTGATGCTCTCTGTGCTCGCCTCCTGGGCCATGTAGCTTGAGGGGCCTGCATGGGCTCCGCCAAAGCTGACAGACCTTGGGCTCCGAGCCCCTCTCCTGCCTGTGCTATCTCCCTCCCTGGGAAGATGGGCAGGACAAGTGGGAGCAGATGGCCTGCCTGCGGTTGAGGGGGCTACCTGCCCAGCTCCTCCCCACAAGGTCTCTTAGGCTCAGGCCTCAGAGCTGGGCCTGGTCCTGAGTGTGTGTCCATATGTGTGTGTCATGGGGTGGAAGAGCTGAGGTTGGATACTCAGTGCCCAGGGAAGATCGGTCTGCCCTCCTGTTCTTGGCAAGGGCCACCTGGAGGCTTCTCAGCTCAACTCCACTCTTCTGGCCAGGATCCCACAGGGTAACAGCCCCATCTGCTTGGCGGACCCCACACCCAGGGCCATTGTCCAGCTCTAACTACAGCTATTAAGAGCTACCTGCCTCTCAGGCACTTCCCTACCCCAGTTTCTGAGGTCATATGAGTGTCTGTGATGTCTTCCTGTGTCTTCTTCAACTCGATTCTCCTGGTCTACTGCTTTCATGCTCAGAACATCATTGTCCCAGGCTGCCTCATCCCCAAAACCTCACCTTTTTTTCCAGCAGAAAGTTCTGTTGATCTTTGGTGCACTGCCCACTTCCAAGCTCCACTGGGCTCAAGCCTGAGCCTGAGGTCCTTGTTTTGGGGGGGCAGAGGGATGGTTGTGATTGCCCTTGAAGAACAAGGCTGACCTGAGAGGAACGCTGATCCCTGAGTTCCCAGGGCCCTGAGGTAGCCCAGCATTTGCCCAGGGTAGGCAAATTTCTAATTCACCAGCAATAAAAATTAGAGGAAGGCTTTGTCCTTAGCCCTCATATTTCTCTCTTTTCACTCTCTTCTTCCCATCCCCAAAACTCATTTTGGGGGGTTAGGGTGGAGAGCAGGCAACTACTGTGAGCAAGTCCCCCAACCCCTGACCAACCTCCTCCCATGACTGGTGACTGTTTAATGAGCTGTGCATCCCCCACAAAAACAGGAGTGCCCCTCTGTGTGGCCTCCATCCCTCTGCACAGCCCCTTCCCAGTGGTTCTCACCAGATCTCTGAGCTGGGTCAGGAGCCATCCTGGCAATCACTGCCCATTCCACTCACCCTTCACTGCACCTGCTCCAGAGCCTAGGCCTGGGCCAGAGGCAGGGGAAGGAAAATACATTAGTAGGAAAAATATATAGAAAAAACTTAACAGATTCAGCTTTGGGACTTCTAACCACAAAATAAATGATATATAAATATATATAAATATATATCTCTACCATATGTGATGTAAAGACTTTGTTTTCTCTTCCCAAAGAAATAAAATGGAGAAAGCCTCTTGAATGGCATTCTTTGGCTTGCTTGTGTCTTTGCAGGTATTGGAGGTAAAGTCTGGGTGAGGGGGCTATGGAGGGCAAAACCAGAGTAAACATTTCCCAGAGGAGGCATGAGACCAGAGGTGTTCACTGGGTCATGTTAGGAGGTTGGCCCAAAGCCCAGGCTCCTCCACGTTGCCAGGGAGGAGTCATGGTTCCACGTTTCTGCTGGATGGAGCTTTCTCTAAAGCTGGTAGATCTAGCTCAGAATTTGGACACCAGGCTGCCAGCCACAAGGCAAGTGATGCAGGACAGCCTGCAGTATCCTGAGCCACCTTACAACAATTGGCCCCTTTGAGGGCCGAGTACATAGACATGAAGGCTGAGAACACGTTTGTAATTAGTGGAGAGGCCCCAAAGGCAGGAGAGACCCAAGTGTGTGAGCAGGGTGCTATCCTTTGTGGTTAACTGCTATCCATTAAGACAATTCCTTCTGTCATTCTCACAAAGCGCCCTAGTCAAGAATGCTTTCCACTACAAGTAACACAACCTGATTTAAGGGCCACAAAGAATGATTTATTTTTCCTCACCTTACAAGTCTGGTTGTAGACATAAGTGTCACAGAGTGTTGGATCATCAAGGACCTAGACTTTTCATCTTCCTACTCTCCCATCGTTAGCATGTTGTTCCCTTCATGCCACAAGGTGGCTGCCACAGCACCGTGAAGGGATTGAGGCAGAATTACTTATCATGAAAGTAAAACTTTTCCAGAACCCTGACATCACATGTCCCTTTAAATTCTGCTGTCCAGAAATGAGTCACATGTTCCTCCCACTTCAAGGAAGGCTGGGAAATTGAGGTTTTGGCCACTGAGGAACAGGATTGTCATTGCTGCCTAGGATCAATCAAGGTTTGTCCTATGGGGATGGGTGCTCCGTTTCTCTGGGTTCTGCTGACAAGGATAGTCATAATCAACCAGTAACAGTTTTTTGCCCTGGTCTGGCCAGAGTAAGAGAACACTCCCCGAGCAAGTGATGTTACAGAGCTCAGGAGTTGGAATGCCAGGTTTGACCCCGCCTTTCAGTGAAGTGCCCTCCCTACACTTGCTTTGTCTCCCAGACAAAATGGTATCCTGAAGAGAGGACCATTTCTCAGGTCTCCTTCACAGCCCTTAGGATGAGTGGACCAGCAGGCAAGATATGACGACCCTGATCAGCAGTACTCAAGTGCCTCCAGGAATGGCAGTCTGGGGCTAGCCCTCCCAGAAGGTCTCAGTAGAGGCTCTTCCTTGCCTAGTTGTCTTTATCCACTCAGGTTTGAGTCCCACTGCTTGGGGAGGTGGAGGATCACCCTGACTCATCTGCCATAGCGTAGGCGTCCTCAAGCAACTCACAACCATTTTACCTAAAGGGCTCGTCTATCCATCACTAACTCTTCTCCTGAGAGCACTTTATAGATCCATCTCTATTACAAATGCATGATTACCCTCATTGTACAGATGAGAAACTAGGCTTAGAGAGTGTAAGTGACTTCCTCAAGGCCATAAAAGCTTGAATGGCGGTCTGGGATTCGAACCTATGTTCAAACTATTTAGTAACTTCTAGAGCGGTCAGTCCGCGGCGGTATTTCCTTTCAGACCCCCGGTGTCCTCTCAACGACGTCCTCCAGTGGGAAACGTCCTTGGAAAATGCTGATAAAGTCTTTTGAACCTCGGTGGCACCCGTAATCCGAGCTGCACGCGGAAGTAGTGTGCAGTTAGCCGGAAGTGGGCTGTTGGGCTGTTGTGCTGCTGAGCGAGTCGTGGTGGCGCGGCAGACCGCGCAGTCTGGAGTCTAGTGCCGGGGCGCTCGTGCTTGCCAGGCTCAGGTGAGTGGCGGCAGCCGTGGGGCCTCTCCTTGCCGACCAGGGCTTGGCCTGCTTGGCCTGCGCCTCCGGTCCTGTCCACGGCAGATGAGCGCGGAGGCCCGCCTCCGCACTTCCTGGCCCACCCGCGGCCTCCTCTCGCCGGCTCGGCCCTGGGAGAGTATCGGCGACCCCGTCACTCGGGGGTTCTGTGACCTTGGGCAAGAACCTTACCTGAACTTTGATTTCTTTCCTGTGTGAGACAGAGATAATAACAGTCTTGTCTCACGGGGCTGTTGTGAGAACGTAATGAGATATTCTGCCGTGCCTTTTATCTACACTTTAATGTGTGTGCGAGTCACTTGAGGATCTCGTGATTCTGATTCTGTAGGTCTGGGTGGGACCGTGAATTTTTTCGTTCTTAACCAGCTTCCGGGTGAGGCTGATGCCGCTGATTTGCAGGCCACGCTCTGAGCAGCAAAGCCGTACACTGTATTTTCCTTAGTACCTGGAAGTGGTTGAGTCTTCAGTAAATATCAATACAGTATGTACCTTCTGCCCATTTTTAATACGGTTTCTGGTTGCACAAACTTAAGAGTATTATTGATGTCCTTTCGTTTTTCTCTCCAAGGACATGAAAAATAATTGCCCTTTCTTTTTCTGTACAAATCATGACACAGCTCTTCTGTCCTGACTCAGGAAGCTTTGAGCTTTCTTTATACCACTTAGGTTCATCGACCTCTTCAGGTGATGCTTCACTGCCACTCACTGCAGACCCTTGGACAGTGCTTCGTCCTGTGGAGCTGGTAGCCAAGTACTTTAATGCCACCTTGGCTGGTGTTTTGTGCTTCAGTCATTTGTTACAGCTGGAATCTGAATTCATGTTTGCAGCCCTTTGCTTACATTTTCTGTATAGTTAACACAGATCTTTCCAGAACTAGATTTTGCAACCCACTGCTCAGGATGGCCATGGACAAGCTCCGGGATGAATTCGCTATTACCTCATAGACCAAAGTAAAATCTGAAGACTAAGTGCTGCATAATACAACTGAGAAAGGGAGGTCTTTATGAGTGAGGTCCCTCTAGCTTATTTTTCAGTATGGTTTTCTTCCCCATTCATTGGTTTATTTTCCTGTTTACCAAGAAGGCATTGTCATTCACTGTGCAGTGAGTCAACTTTTATTTCAAAGAATTCTGAAGTCCCCACTTCCCTTGTCTGAAGTACTGTACTCTGCAACCTTGCAAACCTAGGAAAATGGATAAAACCAAGTGTTCAGTTGAGTTGACAGTGATAGTACTTGCACGATTATTGGGGAGTTTTTTCACATGACTGTGGATGTGGCTGTTTCTCTTAACTTGCTTGGATTTTGTCAGTCCTCTAATCATCCCATTTAGGTGGGCTGATGGTACATAATTGCTCTCTGTTGCTACACCCAGAGACTTCCCAAAGACCAAGTTTTATGAAACCCTTTAAGAGCAGTGGCTCTAACAGAATTGTCTATGGGGCCTGTCAGACTGTGTCAACCCGACCTTTGCCCTTCTTGTAGAGGGACAGAGTCTTAGAAGGGGAGGAGAGGTCTTTCCAAGCTAACAGGTTTCACAGATGAAGGTGATGGGCTGTTCTCTCCCATAAGCACAGAGACTAGAACGAAGTAGAGGGAATGGACTGTTCGATTTGATTTGGGTTTGGCTTTTGATGGGTGACACTTAACCTTGACCTAAACACCTTTGCACTCATGCTCTACCTTCACAACGGGAGCAGAGCCCTCTCTTGTTGGCCCTGCTCCTATATGCAAACAAGCACAGAAGAGAAGAATCTAGCCCAGTTGGCATCTGCATAAACAGCCAAAGGTCCTCAGTGTCCATTTCTAAGCACTCCCCAGGGCTTTAAAGTTTTGTAGACTTTCAGCAGGAGACTCCAGCACCTAAAGAAAGTTAGTGTTTTGTATTTTTGTTGTCAGCATTGCTCAACAAATTGCTAAGATAAGATTGGGACTTCAAGTATCCATTTATTTGTGGCAGTTTTATCAGGACAGAAGAGGGTAAACCTTTCTATCAAAAAGATCAGGAATCAGAATTAAGGGATGAGATCTGCTAACTGATAAATTGAATATGCTGAGAGTGTTATATACTTAATCTACAGTTAGCATGGCTGCCCTCCTCCATCTGGCTTCCTTCCTCTAACTTCTGGACGGTAGTTTAACACGAAGCTATTCGACCTTGCTCAGACCTGCACCTGGAAGGTGGAAAGGTAAGATTTCTCGCTTCTGTGAAATCACATCATTCAGGGTGGTTTGGGCAGTGCTAAGAGTCTCTGAGGCTCCACTCTGATTTGTTAGGACCCCGAAAGAGGAGATGGAGGTAGGTTACATGTGGAGCACTTAAACTAGGAAAGGAGTTTTGTGAAATGTCGCATGTCTTTCAATCTTCAGAGAAGGTGTCAGGAATTATTGATTAGGCATCTCAGTGTTCTCTTTCTAGTTCTCTCGTGATTTCTTTGGGCATATCCTCTGGGAGGAGCTGGCTTTCAGCTGTGTGTCCACTGTCTGGGCAACACATCTGATGGCCGTTCCTTTGCAGTGCCTTTTCTCCACACTGTTCAGCTTTATTGGCTCTGTATCTTCCTTGTGTTTCTTTTTATTTCTTCTACACAGTACTCAAGACCCAACTACTGAAGTGGTTATATATCAGACCTGAGTACGTAGATATGGTGTCTATACAGTTATGCTAAAACTTACACGGTGAAAAAGTAAGTGGCTACTGTTTGCCCTTTGTATTTTGGCTCTGCATGCCTCTATGATTCTTGATTTTGTCATCATTTTTGTTCCTGGGCATCCATAAAGAAGTTGCATAGACTGTAGGAAGTGCTTGCACTAGAAAGAACTTGTCAGCATTTTCCTAGAATATGAAGGCTACTTTCTCTATTCACTGTGTTCTTGAAAAAAATGTTAATTTTCCATTAGTACATGTATTTTGTAAACAATTTTTGTCAAAGTTATACGTGGTTTACACAAATAGTTTGACAGAGCCTATAACACTAAACATGAGTTCCCTCTTTTCTCTCTTTTTGTTCCCCAGAGGCACTTTCAACTATTTGTCTGTTTCTTTTGGCATTTGTATTTCTAAATAATATATTTGTGTTGCTCTTTCTTGATTTCTAGAAGTTTATCTATCTGTAAAATCTT